GTGAATTAGATTCACTGAAGGGTAAATACCTGGAATGATAAGCCAAACAACAGCGTGTATGTGTGTGTTTCAGTCTCAGTGTGACGTAATTTCATTGTCCACATACAGAAAAAGTATTCCTCTCCCTCCTGATTTATTAATGTTTTTGCATATTTGTCACATTTTCATGTTTCAGATCATCAAACAGATTTTAATACCAAAATGCAGTTTTTAAATGATGGCTTCTCTCGATAAGAGAAAAAATTATCCACACCTACCTGGCCCTCTGTGAAAAAGTAATTGCCCCCCAAATTTTAATAACTGGCTGTGCCTCCCTTGGCAGCAAGAACTGCAGTCAAACATAACTGATGGCAGGGATGGGAACTGAGAAGAATTAACTGATTCCATTATTAGTATTACTTATCGATTCTCACTGGGATCTCACTGGCTTTGTTTTGAGAGTCACCACCATCTCTAACCATCATGTCAATGTTACATTCATGCAAATGAATTGCTTTGTGCTTTGTCAAATGTTTGTGCATGTTGTGGAGTTATTTCTCCCCCTTGTTGTGTTCAGTGGTGGGTCATTACTCAAAAAAGTAAATATTACAAATATTACACAGAACACTTTCATTAAAGGTGATGCAGTACATTACTTAGTTACTTACTCGTTACTTTTTTTTTTCATAAAATGAGCTGAAAAGCTTTGCCTCATAATTAACATTTAACAAGATACACCTTCAGGCTACAGTCCTGCACACCAATGCAAATCTTGATCCTAATGAGGACAGACATATGAACACAAACACAATGCTGACAACACAACACAAGCAAAAAGAGACTTTAAAGTGATTGCCACAGTGATTCTACTGTAGAAACATGAACAGGTAAAAACTGCTCATCAGGTTTTTTTTTACCTGTTGAAGTTAAGGGTCTGACTCCTGGGCTTGGGCATTTACTCATAACATCTCTCTGTGTTTTTGGCTAGCTTAGTATTAGCATGCTGTCTGTACAGGTGCTTGCAAAAACCTGAAGCTGTGTTAGCAGCATAATGCAGCTGTTTCTGTCTACTGTAACATCGTGCTCTCGTCCTATTATGCAATGAATTGAAAGTAAAGTCCATATCCACGCTGCAGACTGTGCCACTGTTTTCCTCCTCCTGCATGTGAACTTAGATCAGCTGATAATCAGCTGATTGTTGTTTGAGTGCTACAACTGATAACAGTGATCCACAGGCAAGCAAACCAACAATTCCAAGAAACTGAACTACTGGGAACTAGTTCTCTGCAAGAACTGGTTCTCGATTCCCTTCCCTAACTGACAATGATGCTCTTACGTTGCTGTGGAGTAATTTTAGCACACTCTTCTTTTCAGAATTGTTCCAGACACATTCAAGGGTCTAAATCTTCATTTTTTTGTACTTTTCTGAGCCATTTAGAGGTGGATCTTGTGGCGTGTTTTGGACTATTGTGCTGCTTAATAACCCGAGTGAGGTTAAGCTTCAGGGCACAAACGGATAGCTGGACCTTCTTCGGGACTTTCTGGTAGAGAGCAGGAATCATGGTTCCATCAATTACGGCAAGTCGTCCAGCAGCAAAGCAGTCCCAGACTATCACACCACCATATTTGACTGGTGGTATGATGTACTTTTGGCTATGTTAGTTTTACACCAGATGCAACGAGTCCTGTTAGTCCACAGAATATTTTCCCAGGCCAGGTAGGTTTGGCTATTTTTTGTTTTCCCTTAATAGATGCAATCATCATTTAAAAACTGCATTTTGCATTTACTCTGGTTATTTGAGTCTAATGTTGAAATGTGTTTTATAATCTGAAACATGCAAGTGTGACAAATGGGGCGTGGGGGTAAATACTTTTTCATAGCACTGTAGCTAAACCGATTTGCTCACAGTTGTTATATATTCTTAAACCCCGTCAGTTACAGAACATGTAAAAATCACCTCCCCTGTCCTCTCATTGTGAAATGCAAGCTCATAGGTGTGCCTAAGATGACTCCTTGTATGATCAATGTGATGAACTATACAAAATGGAAATTCCTTTTTCAAAGCAACTTTGGAAAATTCCTCATGCACACACAAAACAAATCCTCCTGGTGTGAAATTTTAAACACACACTGATTATAAAATGCTGTAAATACATATTGAGTTCATGAGAGCTTCATTCCAGTGCGCCTCCCTTTTGTTGACATATTTTAACCTTGCAGGCTTGCTTTCTCTACACACCTCCCCCCTCTCGACCCATGCTTACAATAGTG